CCCCCCCCCCCCCCCCCCCCCAAAAAAGCTGCGCCAGGCTCAGTTCGGATGGCCCGGACACAAACTTTTCACTAGGGCGTCAATATCGATACAAAACTTTTTACTGTTTGTCAATAGCAAAAACAAAAATATCAACAGAGACCGGGGCTGAATAAGCCGGGGACCAGCGTCCTGCTAGGTTCGTTTCCCTTTCTACATCCCCGCTCCCTGCAGTCTTCGGCTGTGTGTTTGTCTAGTTAGAGCTGAAGCGCTTCAGCTAGGGACCTTGTTTCCTTGCATAAAGCAAGTTTAGCAAACTTTAGGCACAATAAAAATAATTGGTTTTGCTTAAGAGGGACGGTGGGACTTTCTGAGTATATTTGAGGAAAAGCTTTCTAAACTTGGGACGGGACTGTCCCTTTTGGGGGGGCAAGGTTAGGTTGTAATTTGAGGGTAACAGTCCTCCCTTTTTTTTTAAGTTAGATTCCTTCCTCTGAGATTGTTTATGATGATGCGGCATCATAACAATTGTCATGGTGGTCCACTGAGACCTTTCAGTTAGGGAATTAATCAGTGAAAGGGATGTTGCTAAATTTGGTCCCAAATATTAACTTTGTAAAAAGAAGCTTTTTGTATAACCTAACACCAGTGGGAATTGTTTCCTCAACCTTAAAAAAAATATAGTGAACAGTTATTTTTAAACAAGCTACCCTATATTTCCCCTTAATGTTTGAAATCCAAACATTGCATCTTTTGAACATGAAAGTGAAACTGACTATATACAATTTTCAACTTATTTTTCATTGTCCAAAGTGAGCGATGTGCAAGAAGTTATCACTGTAAATAGTGACAAGTAAATTATATTTTCTCTTTTAATAATTACATTATTAGTAACATAAATAAGAAATGTTTATTTAAAACATTTTATTTTTAAATGTATAGTGTCCCTTGTAATGTTTATAAATTGCTATAAAGATAGAAAATCTTATCTGGAAACCATTCTTCTCAGCCATATTACCACAGGATGCACTGTCTTGGGGTTCAAGCTAACTAGGGTGGGTTTGTAAAACTGAGGAACTGATTGTTTGTGACTATTAAAGATCCCAAAGTGCTATTCACAGGACTTGGGGTGCTAATCTAATATCCTGGCCAAAGTCCAGTTTGAGTGATTATATTCCAAAAGATAATACATATAGTATGTTAGTAATTATTATTATATCACTTAAGTTACAGAAAAATCATCAGATGGTAATAACTTGCTGTCATTACTAAGATGGGCTAAATTTGAACTGGTGACCTATAGGTGTAAAGCACTATATTCCCACTATAGCCAATATCCTGAACCACCTAATCCCCAAATCACCTTAACAGTTTATACTCAGTTTTATCTGGTGCCTTATGTTATTTGCAGATTTCTGATAACTGCTGAGGTAGAACTGATTTGTCAAAATTTTTCATTTGTATTGCAGACATAAACTTGAAATAAATAAGGGAAAAGAACCCTGACAATGTCTTCGGTAGTGTCAGAATATACCATTGGTGGGGTGAAGATTATCTTTCCTTGCAAGGCTTACCCTTCACAGCTTGCTATGATGAATGCAGTAAGTAGACTTGTCATTAAAATCTATTGATTTAATAGTTTATGTAGTGTTATAATTTTGCACCTGTAGTAAATTAAAAGTTTAAAAGGGAATTTAGATATGAATTCAGAACCTTCAATACCTCCAGTGTTTCCATTACAATACAAGCTACAACATGCTGTATTTACATATATGTGGGGAAGAGCTCAGTTATATTTTTGGAGTATTAGGGTGAATACATACTCCTAAACTTTTATACTAAATATCTTGTTAAATAGGTGTGCCCATAATGTATGCCTGTTTAACTAGAGATTATGTAGTAAGAGTTATTTGATATTGCAAATGCAGAAAGGGAAGGCTTCAGCAAAATGCCTGCCATCTTTTGATCAAAAGATACCGTACCAACCCAGTAAGTTTTCATTTTATTGAGGGAGTAGATGTTTTATCTTCCACATGTTATTAAATATAAAACTTCAATTACGACAAGGAAGTATTTAATGGCCTGCCATCATTCTTTGCTCCTATAACATTAAGGATAAACAGATTCTGACTTGGGCCTGATCTACACAAAAAATTTAGGTTGACCCAGCTACATCGCTCAGCGGTGTGAAAGATCTACATCCCTGAGCGACGTAGTTAAGATGACCTAACCTCGGTGTAGATAGTGTTAGGTTGAAGAATTCTTCATTTACATAGCTACCACCTCTCAGGGAGGTGGATTGCTTACTCCAGTGGGAGAATCCCTCCCATTGGCACAGGTCGTGTCTACAGTGGAGCACTACAGCGGTGCAGCTGCAGCATTTCAAATGTAGACAAGCCCTTGATCAGGTGTTGCTGCTATATGGGGAGGAAGTCGACAGTTCCATCTGAGTCACTATCGAACCTATGTTCCAGTATAGTGAGAGATGTTGCAAATGTCTGTAGCTGAGAGAAAACCAAGACCTAATGACCACTTGTGGTCTTGAGTTTTTTTTTCAAAAGTATGAACTTCTGAGCACCACGTCAAATTCCATTTAGGAAATTACTTTCAGCTTGCCTTAAAAAATCCCTGTGGTTTCAGCTACAGATGTTCTTCACCTTCTTTCTTAGTTACTGTCTTGTTGCTGACACAGAAGATTTACTGCACTTTGCTAATGGGAGTGTGATATATATACACTCCTCCTCCTCCCAGAGACATGAAAATTTACTTGTTAATTCTTCTGAGCTGTTCACTTTTTATTTTTTTCCTTACAGATTGTTAAGGGGTTAAATTCCAGGCAACATTGTTTGTTGGAGAGCCCCACAGGAAGTGGTAAAAGTTTGGCGTTACTTTGTTCTGTATTGTCATGGCAGCAGTCTCTGCATGGTAAGTTATCTCAAAATGCCCATATGCCCAGTTTCAGTTAGCAAGGATTGTCTGCATTAATAGATACATTAGTTCTGTGGACAACCTCAGAAATCTAGTTTTAGGAATGGACCCAAATCTTGTCAGTCCTTATGCCAATGGTTGATGCCAGCTTTATGGAGAATCAAGATAGTAGACCTAATCAGCGTTATTTTCATATTAAAATGGATATGGCTTTAAATGTTATATTAAGGTGGTAATATGAATATCAGCATATTTAAAGAAAATGTTATTGCTTATCTGAAATTATATGACATTTTGAACTGGAAAATGTGTGTTTTCCAGCTCTGTAAATTATTGTAATTGTTTTTGACTATTATTCTTTATTGAGTTTTCATAGTATGCTTAGTCTGTACAATACATAGAGGAAGACGGAGTCCCTAGCCAAAAGGCTTATAATCTAAGTAAATTACACAATACAGACTGCACCCATAATTTACTAATGGACCAGATCAAAGTGCAAGCCCAAATTAGTATATAGCAATATTAACAAGTCTTCCTCTGTTTTACTGTTTGAAAGAGTTTGTGCTGCCTTCATTGGGGAAAACTGAGTTTACATGTGTTTTCTTTATGCAGTGGAGATAATGTCCTTATTTCTGGCTAAGACTCAAAACCTGCTAAATTAGATAATTTTTCAGTTTTTCTTATACTAGCGTACAACCTTATATACTATGGTTTAGTATGGCTGGTATACCCATTCAGAGGAACTGCGATGGATCTTAACTATATATGTGCGTCTTTTTCCTTCCTGTATAATGCTTACTCTATTGATTAAGATTGTGGTTAGTATTAACTCAAAGGCCCTATTGTACTTTTTTTGTAGCTGAATGGGTAGGGTTTCTGTAAATGACTTCCATATATCTGTTTTGTAAAGGTGTGCAACTGTTGTGGACCCAGTGACTACAAGTTATAGTGCTGACAAAATCTACTGTTATCTAATTATTCCTACAGTATGGAGAGAGCCTACTTCTGCAATATGGCTCTGTAGTTATGCTTTTATAACCGAAGATGAATGACCTTCTCCTGTCCTATTTGTAGAGAAGTCACTGGATGAGTTCTCATGTGAAAAGGAATGCAAAAAACCAGAGACTTCATTGCCATGTCACTGTAGATGCCATTCCCAGGCTGTGACTAATGACACTACTGCAGATGTGAACCAAGGTGCTTCTTGTTCTTTCACTAATTGTAAAGCAGCAACTTCCATAAAAAGTGAAACACCATCAACAGACAAAGGTAACTTTCTATTTTTTTGGGGGGGTGGACATCTCATATGGCTGTTCTCATTTCTCCTATGATTGCCAATGCCACACGAGTCAACAACTTATCAAGAGTGCTACTTTCATCATGCTTTCACCCCCCACCTTTTTTCTGGGTCATTAATGGCTCCTGGCTTTAAAGTTCCCCCTTCCTTCCAAGTGTCCAAATCAAAAATATGTCATAGGATAGCCCTACAGATGAGCGTGTTTATGGTCTCTTATGCTCAGTAGTGGTTGCAAGTGTTCTCCTGCATTGCTTCTTACTAGTTTGAAGTTCAGGAGCCTATAGTCAGCTCCCCATGAGGTCTCTAGCACTGCACTATAATCCAGTCTACCAAAAGAAACCTTGACTCAGAAACGAGTACCTTACAGTTTTTACTAACTGTTAAATATTAACTTCTGGAATTTGGAATGCTGGGGAAGTAGATAATTGGGAGTTTGCATACTGGGAACACCCTCATTTGAAGCCTCCTCTTCTTTTCCCTATGTGATTCACAGGATTTCAGTGAAGGAGTACTATTGTGCTTTTGCAATGAAGTATTTTACCCATGGCTTTTGCTATTGAGTGTAATCCACTATGTCCATGTGATCTTGCCAGTTTTTCTCAGCAGCAAGTACCAGGGTCATTGTATAAATAGATGGCACATTTTTTTCTTTTGGTCCTAGCCTTTGGTGTAAAAGTCAGCTTTAAACTGCACTTCTCCCTGAAAGTGTTTTGCCCATTGTTGTGAAAGGATACACCTAAGATAGCTTTAGCTGAAAGGGGGTGCCGGGAATGTCTCATTATTTTCTCATTTTGTTTTCTTTATGCATTTGACAGCACTCTTACATGGTCAGTTGGCAGCGCTTTTCCTGTGTAGGCGCTTTTCCTGTTATTACTGTGGGACTTTCACTTAGCAACAGGGAGTAGAAGAGCATTGAGAAAATATGAAGATGTGATTTGTAAAACCATGAAAAATTGGCAGGGGACTAGGATAGGTGTAGTACCTGAACATAATTTTTTTTTTTTAAAGAAAAAGTGACTAGATTTCAAGTTGGCGGTATCCTTTTAATAATAATAATAAACAAACCTGACTGACAGAGATGAGAGATTTATTGGAATGAGGTTGCCATCCCTGGCTTCTCATATAATTTCTGTGCTAAGTACAATATTGACTAACAAAATCTTGGATTAAATCTCAGTAAAAACTTCTGAATTGTAACAACAGTAGGACAATTGTACAGACTGCCTAAGCAGGTTGTGGAAACTCCTTCTCTGGAGGTTTTCAAAAGGAGGCTGGAGCCATCTGTCTTGGATGGTTTGGACACAACAAATCCTGCATCTCGGCAGAGGGTTAGACTAGATGACCCTTGTGCTGACTTCTACTGCAGTCTAATCTTTCTTTATGCCTAATTCTACAATGAAGTCACATTCCTCTGTTACTGATGGCAATCTGTGGCCATTTCAATGATTTTGCTGTTGCAGTTCTGCATTATGATTTTAGTCATAGGTGCCAACTCCGTGGGTGCTCCGGGGCTGGAACACCCATGAAAAAAAAATAGTGGGTGCTCAGCACCCTCTAGCCATCCGCTGATCAGCTGTTTGGCGGCAGGCAGGAGGCACTGGGGGGAAGGAGGCAGAGTAGGGATGGAAAGGGGCAGGAAGAGGTGGCAAGAGGGTGGGGCCTTGGAGGAAATGGCGGAGCGGGGGTGGAGCACCCATCTGGAAAGAAGAAAGTCGGTGCCTGTGATTTTTAGTGTAAGGATGTGAGCTATGAACAGGATATAATCATTGCTGTTAGAAAGTAAAAATCTCTTGTGTTTAGCCACAATAGCAGGGACAATGATAAAAGATCAGTGGAAAGCTAAGAGACATGTTTACATATAAGAAACTTTAAAGCTTTATCTGCTGTGACAGACCCTCTAAAAATATTGTAAGGATTAAATAGCTGGTTTTTCCTTACCAGTATAGCCAAAATCAATTTTAGAAGGGAAACTAATAGCTAGTGCAATGCTTGTTACGTTTCTTCTGTTAGGAGGCCTCCCTTAGACCAACCATTTTTTCCATGTTGCATAGTAGTAAAATCCTAAAGTAATGGTTCTTCCTATATAAATTTGTCTGCATTGCAGTGAGGGAAGATGGGGTCCAGAAAGAACTACCAATATTATAGTCCACCTTGAGTCTAAACTATTTTTTCTGAATAAGTTTCATGACTGGAAATATTATTTACATTTATTTAATACACTTGTAGTAATGAATACTCCTGTTACAGAACATAATGCAAAAGTCACACTGTCTTCAAAATTATCTGCAAAGAAATGGGCATCTTTACATAGAGATGAAAATGATGACTTTCAAGTGGACAGGAAAAGGATACGTTTATTAGAAACTGAGCAGCAGGTGAGCAAAGTTTATTGGCAGTAAAATAATCCAGGCATAGCCGAACAAAGTTGTCAAATATCAATCAACATTTCAGTGCTAGAAGTAGAGATTAGTTGGTCATGTCACAGCCATAAATTAGATTATTACTTTTTTTCTTCATTTTTACTAATACTTGTTACAAAGGAATCCATTGTTGTATTTGATTTTCACAATAACTTGTTATGCAGATAAATTACTTGATGTATGCTAGTAAATGGAGAATTTAAACACTCTGTCTCTATGAAGCCTACTCACCAATAGTTGTTCTTAAACGTTAAGACAAAGAAAAGAATTCTTAGGCATGAAAATGCCCTTCCACATATGTGCTAAAAATCTAATGCCTCTTGATATCCTGCCAAATTCTTATCACTAGCTTTTTACATGGGATGAAATTTCTCTAAAGTTTGTGTTACATTGTCAATATTGGTATTACAAGTTCCTTAATTGTTTTTTATATTACTGAGATGCACTCTAGTCATCATTGTATTGTGTTTTAATTTTGTATCAGAGAACTACTTTTAACTTTTTTGAAGAGTAATTACCATGGGTTGGATTTTTTCCTTGCCATTCATATTATGGATATTTCTATTGTATGTCTGTACAATAATTATACTCGTTTTATCAAAACCTATAACAATGGGAAATAATCACTGATGCATCCGAAGAAGTGAGGTTTTTACCCACGAAAGCTTATGCCCAAATAAATCTGTTAGTCTTTAAGGTGCCACCAGACTCCTTGTTGTTATGATTAACAAGTACATCAACATAAACATCCATTTTCATCTTTGAAACTAGATGTAAATTTTGCTTACCAAAGTCCTTGTGTGACTGAGGAGTCTGTAGGGGTGGTGCTGGTGGTGGTATAGTGTTATTTCATTAACTGTTTTGTCCAAAGAAGGCTCAATAAAATATCACTCCAAAATTATAGAAATTGATCATATTAATTTATTGCTTTTATTTAGCAAAACAAAATGATTTAAAAAAAAAAGCATTATTAAGCTGTATATTTGTCTTGATAACTAAGATGTACAAATGTTATAGTAACTTTTCTTAAATTATTAATTTTTGGTTAGCTTATGCTAGATGTGGTTAAACTGATGGGTATTAACAATGCACTGAGTTTCTGAAACAGGCACAGAATGAAGAAAAAATTAAAATTATAACAGTAACGTTTGACCACTAGTTTAGCTCTGATTTAATGCCACATCTTTGTCTGTTGTTGTACATTTGAGTATTGCATGTTTTCCTAACAGGTAAGAAAACGTCATTGTTTTGCAAAGGGAGTGCAGTTTGTTGATGCTTTGGAAGTTTATCAACAGCGAAGAAATGGGGAACTGACTGTTCACTCAGAAAAAATTGCTGCTTTCTCTCCAAAAACGGTAAGTAGCATGGGTCTTGTAGGCCACTTATTAGTTCAAGTAACAAAGACAAATTTTGTTGCTATAAAGAAATTGTGCATGAAAGGCCAGTTTACAAGATGATTTTCAGAAAGCATCCTGCTGCATCAGGATCTAGAATCTTTAAGTTATTTTGCTGGTTCATCCCATGATGCAGTCTAGAAAGGACTGGAGAGAAAGTCTTCTGGTAAATGCCTGCATCTCTGGAATGCTCTTTCCTCTCACTGTTAGTCTGAGTACTTCTGTGGAATCCTTTTGGGCAAGGCTGAAGGCTTTTTTGTCTCCCTTTTTGTTTGTGTGCTGGGGGTAGGATGTTGCTGTCTTGTCTTGCTTTTATCTGAAAAAGTAGCCCACTTAAAAACATAAGAAATTGCTATATTGGGTCAGACTAATGGGCCGTCTTGCCCAGTATCCTGTCTTCCAACAGTGGCTGGTGCCAGATGCTTCAGAGGGAGTGAACAGAACAGCGCAATTTATTGAGTGATCCATCCCCTGTTGTCTGGTCCCAGCTTCTAGCAATCAAAGCTTTAGGGACACCCAGAGAATGGGGTTGTGCCCCTGACCACCTTGGCTAATAGCCATTGATGGACCTATGTTCCATTAACATATCCAATTCTTTTTTTGAACCCTGTTATACTTTTGACCTTAACAATATCCCCTGACAACAAGTTCCATAGGTTGACTGTGCATTGTGTGGAGAAGTACTTCCTTATGTTTGTTTTAAACCTGCTGCTTATTAATTTCATTGGATGGCCCCTGGTTCATGTGTTGAGTGAAGGTGTAAATTACGCTTCCTTATTCACTTTCTCCATACCATTCATGGCTTTATAGACCTCTATCACATACCCCCTCAGTCGTCTCTTTTCCAGGATGGACAATCTCAGTCTCTCTGTAATCTCTCCTCATATGGAAGTTGTTCCATATCCCTAATAATTTTTGTTGCTCTTTTCCAGACCTTTTCCAATTCTCTCTTACTGCATTATGAAATTTTCTGTCCTATTAACTATCCCTTTCCTAAAGGTTCCTAACATTCAGTTAGCTTTTTTGATTGTTGCTGCACATCGAACAGATGTTTTCAAAGAAATATCAATGATGTCTCCAAAATCTTTTTTTTTTTTTTGAGTCGTAACAGCAAATTTAGATCACATAATTTTGTTTGTACAGTTGAGATTGTTTTCCAAAGTCCATTGCTTTGCATTTATCAACACTGAATTTCATCTCCCATTTTGTTGCCCCACCACCCAGTTTTGAGAGATCCCTTTGTAAATCTTCACAGTCTGCTTTGGACTTAACTATCTTGAGTAATTTTGTATCATCTGCAAACTTTGCCAACATGCTGGTTATCCCTTTTTACGGATCATTTATGAATATGTTGAACAGCACTGTCCCTGCACAGATCCTTGGGGCACTTTGAAAACTGGCTGTTTATTCCTACCCTTTGTTTCCAATCTCTTAACCAATTACTGATCCATGAGAGAACCTTCACTCTTATTCATTCCTTGCTTTGCTAAAGAGCCTTTGGTGAGGGACCTTGTCAAAAGCTTTCTGAAAGTTCAATTACACTGTATCACCCTTGTCCGTGTTTGCTGACAACCTGAAAGAATTCTGATGGATTGGTGCGGCATGATTTCCCTTTACAAAGCTGTGTGGACTCTTCCCCCAACAAATCATGTTCATCTGTTTGTCTGATAATTGTTCTGTGTCTGATAAAACTTGTTTTGTAAAGAGGCACAGGTGCCTAAAAAGTTAAAACTGATTACTGTTTTCTAACATTGTTACAAATTGTCACTTTTCCTAGCAGAACTTACAAGAAAATGCAAGTTTCTTAAAGGAAACAGACTCAGAAATATGCAGTGGTATTTGCAGAGTTCCCCACTGGAAATTTGTTGCAATTTTTGGTGTTTGAGTTTTCTTCATTTTTTATTAGGAGGGAGGTGGTGGAGGGTGGGGAAGTAATAACAACATTGTTCAAGCTAAACCAAAATAAAAAGAATATGAGACATTCCTAAAGTCAGTCCTACAGCGCTGATGCAGGAAAGTTGGATCACCTCAATGATATGTGAGGCTACTTAATAGCATTCGCATGAATTCTTATTGAAGGGCTATGCCAGAGTGGTCGCTACCAGTGCTAAAAAGTCGGATGAGAGTGAAGAGCTGCATGGGTTTGGCAGACAAACACGAGAGGAGAGGAGAATCTTTCCCTTTTTCAAAACTCCCATGGATACTCTCTCCTTCCCATTTGTCTTTTGGACTTTTAAGTAATTCCCAGGTAATATGCATCTCTAGGTAATCCAGCACTAGAATAAAATAGTCATTTGCATTTCATAGTGTATTAAAATCCTGATAGAAGAATCAGTCGGTCTTTGGAAACACCCCTGAGCTGATGACCAGCTGGAGCCTCTTTTCTCTGTCTGATACACTCTCAGACCCTTTGTATACATCTTTATGAATAATGACTTAAACATTATTTTTTATTTTAACTGTACACTTCTGGGTCCAGTTTGCACCTGCCTTTTTGAACTACAAAACAAACCAAAAGTTGTAATACTAATGTAAAATACTGGTAGTTAATTATTTTCTTTTTTACAAAAGAGAACCAGTACTCTTGTTCATTTTAACGGGCAGTACATTTTATTATTGTTTTGGAAAGCTTCAGAGGTTTTCAAGTGGCATTTTTAAATGCCTCATGCTACTGAAATCAGTTGGCATTGTGAAATCTGAAGGCCAGCAGAGTGTGCTGTTGGTTTTCAAATAAAAGCTTTTCTTGCTTTATTGACCTTCACATTGAAGCGGACAGTGTTGTGGATTTGCTTAAAAAATTGAAAGATGGTTTAGAGGTTCTAGAATTTTTTATAAGTAGTGACAGTAACTAAGAATTCGTAGTGTTTGAGGAGCATTTTGCAACTCATTTTTAAGATAATTTACTACTTACATTAAAATAATTAAAAAAACCCCACACTGAATAAGAGAATTATCTATTATTTTCCTTTGCATCAGAAGGAAATCTATATTACTTTTGGGTTAACATTTGAGCAGTGCATTATAATATGCCATCTATAGGCCTCATCTTGCAAATACTTACAGAAATAATGCTTAGTATCTGAATAATCTTGTTGATGTCTGGAAGGCTACTCAAGCAATAATAATGAAGCCCAGAAACTTTGGGCCCATGTTTGTGGCTATGCTTTCCAGATTTGGTAACAATTTGCGTAGTCTCACTCTTGGGCGTTGATGAAGTCTGATACATTTATGCCTCTGGTCTTCTGTGGTGGTGAAAAAGCTAGTATTGGATACAAATTTGGCACCTCCTAAAGTCAGGAAAAGTAAGATCATCTAAAACAAGACAGAGGATGTGTTTGGGATTAACAGTGAAGGGGGAAAATTCATGGGTGCAAAGTTTGAAGACCTATTTGGACACATCTTATGTAATATAAAAAAGAAACCATTAAATGTATTCTGGCATGGTAAATATGAAAAACTTTCTCTCATTGTACTTTTCTGGGAATGTCATTGGCACTGGAAGCAAATACTGCAATTTTTGTGTTCTATTCCTGAAAGAACAAAGCTGAACCCTATGAAGTTGGTCTCAGTAAGTCTTTTGAAATTCTTAAGTTTGCAAGACACAGGTGTCTCAGATTTTAAAGTCTCTGTTTAACTTCCTCCTAAATAATTTTTGGTTTTAAAATAATTTAAAATCCAGTTCACAATTGCCACCTTGGAGTTTGATTATTTTAGTTCAGGACTCTGGAAGGCAGGAAAAAATGATGAACTAAGTTAGATAATGAATGGGTGCACAATAGCAGCATTATTAATGAATTAATTATTTAAATGTCAAGCTCTAAAAAGTAAAATTAATATGGAAAATGAGACATCCATATCAGGTGATGGGGTTTTTGGAGGACACAAAAGGGTGAAATGCTGTATAGTGGAAGGATTCCAAAAATTTGAGAATTATGTAATTGTGTTGTAGCACATCATATTTCTGGATAAATGTATCAACTTTTCCTCCACATTTCTTATGGTTCTTCTAGAAATCAAAAGCGAAAAAAACAAATTCTGAAGCTGCTTAGAAGTCTGTATTTGGGCTCAAAGTTTGAGGCTATATATATATTTTGAAATCTAAGGTGCAGCTCTGAACTACTAAAGAAATAGAGTCCATTATGGTTGTTTAAAACAGATGAGATTTGAGTTTGCCACTAGATCTGACTAGACTTCCAGTATATTTTTATCTTTCAATTTAACAGATACCTAATTTCCTTGTTGCTTTTGTGGGAAGGGCTGTAGTTGGGAATATTTGCTGGATCGAGGATATGTGGAACAATTTCTCTTCCTCATTAATATGATTGTGCTAAAAATAATGGTATAAGTAGTTATCAGCTGTGAATGAGAAGTTGCAATCTATTTTTAGAGAGAGATTTGTGTTAATGGATAGTAGTAGTGATACTATAATGAATAGGAAGAGGGTGGTCTCTTCAAAAATATTGACATAAAAACAATAGAATGTTTTATGATGGCAAGAAAAGGAAGTGTAAACTATTCCTTGATAAACATTATTATTTATTTAGAGAATAAATAATATTACACAGTGCCTTACAATAGGCAGAATGTACCACAGAAATGATGATACCTCTGCTCCAAGAGCTAAAAATATCAAGGCATATGCAAGTAAAGTACATAGCAAACAAATTGACAAATGGTCATTATAGCATCATCTGAAATGGCTGCAGATGTTGATAAACTGCATCAAATATTATAATAAAAGCACATGGAAACTGAGAACATTTCTTCCCTAACTATCAGTGTATACAGATCAACATTGCTTGGGAAGATGCTGATGATTGTTCCACCAAGTAGCAACACACATACTTACCCTTTTATTTCCTTACATTCAGGCAATGAGGCATACCATTCAACCCCCCCGGGCCACTGTAAAGCAAAAAACACAGTTGAGAGCCTCTAATCATGTAAGAGTGAGATTATCA